ATTTTCTTCTCAAACCCTCTGTCCGTGTAATTCAATTCCTGAAGAGCAGTCGTCACGTAGAAAATTTTCCACCTCATTTCCTAACTTTTTACAAACAACAGCAGGCAAATACCACTGAAATGCCTGCATTTGCAAAAACCCCATGCAAAATAAAACCCTAAAAAACGCCTGGAGGATAGCTCTTCACTCGCGAATTGATTTTCCTAATCTAATCGTATGACGTCGGGTTTTCTGCCAGTGGAGACCTCTTCCTGGAAATCGGGGCGGCCCTCTCAGGCTCCAGGGCGAGATACACTCGCGAGTAAGAGGGAAAGCAAAGAGGGATAAACAGCGAATACTGTGGGCGAGAATATGGCCAACGGACCAAGAGGAATGAGGCGGGAATGAGGTTGTGAGATATTGGGTGGAAGAAAACGTGAGACACACCGGTGGTGGGGAAGGGGGTGGGGGAGGAGGGAGGGGAGGGATAGCAAGAAGACAGAGGGACAATAAACACTCGAGGAAGAATGAAGGAATAAAGCAAAGGAGTGGGTGAAGTGTCTGAGGACGAGGGAGGTCTGGCGAATTGTGTGGGCACTCGAGGAAGACGTAAATTTATCGCAAACACACCGTGAAAAAATACAAAACTGATCTCATTTTGTTTCACCATTAACCAAAATACTTATTCCATAAATTTTATTCACTCGACATTAATGTTATTAGGTGAAAACTAATGAATTAGTTTTGGTGAATCGAGGAATTCCGAGAGCCATGGGACGAAAAATACCTCTTCGGGGGGAGGAAAGGGCTGGGGAAAGGTGGACTGATAAGATGTTACACCTCAGACTGGCGCCAACGGTGGGATTTTAGTGAGAGAACCACTTTCTGGTTGAGAGAAAAATAAGAGCGTTTCTACGATCGAAATATCTTGACTTTCGACGCTCTAGGCACTTACTGACTTGGCGCCAGGGTGCAATGTTGAGGTTGAATATCTCAATCGTAGGGGGTTTGGTGGTCGTTCGGGAGGGGAATTCAGGGGAATTGACATGGTGTGACAATGCAGAAAAATTTATTTATTCAGAATTGAATTTATGAGGGTTTGTCTTTGGCATGAGGACGATTCAATGGATTCTATCGCAGTTTCTCTGTTTAAATTGGCAATTTGCAATTATATGTCCGGAAAGATGATTTTTAATGTCGCAACAAAAACTAGAGAGTATAACGAACAAAATCAGATACATATGTGGACGAGGAAACGCTTTAAGATTTTTTGGTGGAAAATCTTCAGTAGACTTATCAGAAATTTTTATCGTTTTATAGTTCCACGGAAATTTCAAGGTATTTGGTCATTAAAATTTGAAAATTTTATAGAAAAAACGATGGAAACCGCAAGTTTTCGTTCCATTATTTCATCAGAAATAATAGAAATCGGGATAATTGAGGCAGATATAACACAGCAAAAACGAATGTCTGAATTTTACACGCCTTTTATAAACATTTTTCAGACACTAAAAAACGTCTGACGAAATTTGTCTAAATTTCAAATAGCAATTGAGATGTTTGGGCACCGGTTCGTCTGAAATTCCGACACATTTTCATTTTACTCAGACGTTTTTTAGTGTCTGAAAAATGTCTGCAAAAGGTTTGTGAAATTCAGACATTAGTTTTTACTCTGAATGTACATTTTGTGTAGATCGATGAAAGTAGGTGGTTGTTTTGACGAGTGTCCCTCATCAGTCGAAATGGTCTCATCTATAATCATTTTTATAAGAGTGTTTGTCATTGTGGCTATAAGGCAACCCTTCATACCGATCGCTGCGCGGTAATTTAATTAATTAAGTATTTCCCAGACTGTTTCGGGATTTAAAAATTCTGCTTTTTGATAATGGGGTAAGATTGAAATTATACATCAAATGGCGATTGAAACGTGTTTCGGATAAAACAATTCAGCTTGACAATTCATGGAAAATCATAACAAACCCATTGTACGTAAATTCAAATAAATATTAATGAATCCAACCGTTTCATTAATTTTAATTGAATTTTCTATTCGTTGAAATTTTCTCTCTGAATTTAATTCAGTATCACTCTCTTGAAAATTACTAGTCCACAGTGCACTGTTAGAAAAATCTACTTTCGTACTCGAAAACAAAATTCTTTCAACTTTTGACAAAAACTCATTTTCAGAAAATTTACGATTTTCTCAATCAATCAATCCCCGCCCCTTCAATCCCAACCCCTTGGGGTTGGGGATTTCTCAATCAAGAAATCCCCAACCCCTCCCTTCACATCCGCAAAAATCACTAGTCAAAGACCTCGGAAAATTCCCTAAAAACCCCTCACGTGAGGAAATAAAAAAAATTCAAAGAGGGAAGAGGTCATCGATAGTCGGAGAATGCAGTCTCCGGCGGATCGAGGAGTCGCGCAACCACTTCGCCTGTCTCGAGATAATGCCGTCCCGTCGGATCACTAATTTTCCCTCCTCCCTCTCCCCCCAGCCGCCGTCGATTTCCATCGATTAAACCAATACCAAAAGAATGCGTGTTTCCAGTAGTTCACATGGACTGACATCCCCACATCTGCATCACTTGTTCATTCCCATCAACATATCTCCGATTACAGAACGATCATCTAACAGTCCACCATCCCCTCATAATTACACGGTTGAGATCGTTGGAAATTTTTAGCAAGTTACAGTTCTAGAGAAATTTCAGGGATTTTCGTCACTGAGAATTCGCAATTTGATGAAAAATTCATGGAGACTGTAAATTTTAGTCCAATCATCCCACAAAAATTAGCAGAAGCCCGGAAATTTCAGGTGAATTCATATTTGAATTTTCAATTAATTGTAAATTCAAGCAAATTGAATTAAATTTTCAATTAATTGTAACTTCAAGTAAGTGGGGAAATGCTCGTCTTTGCGGTGCTCAAAAATCTGAAATTTTACTGAATTTTCGTATGTAATACCACGAAAGCTTCACAATTATCAGGTATTTTCCGATAGATTCGTCGCAAACAAACGAAGGAGTCAAGTTTTTCAGGTTAAAAAAAGGTCGAAGCACGAGTGATATTTTCCTGAAAAACTTGACGAGTTCGTTTATATATAGGGACACAGTAAAAACAAATGTCTGAATTTCACACACCTTTTCTAGACATTTTTCAGACACTAAAAAACGTCTGAATAAAATGAAAACTCGTCTAAATTTCAAACATGAATTCAGATGTTTAGGCACCTTTTCATCTGAAATTCAGACATTCGTTTTTGCAGTGGAACCTTGCGGAAAATCCCTGATCAATTTTGAAGCTCGACTGGTATTCGGAAGAGAAATTTTCCATCCAAATTTCGGCCAAGAGAATTCCACAATGAGGCAAAATCCATCTGTTAATTCCAACAAGTGGCTCACTCGACCGGAAAGTCTTTTATTTTTATATACATATCAGCATGAAAAATTACTAGTGGAATTATCAAAAATCATCATTTGAATACCGTGTTGACTATAAAATTTGACAATTTTTCCTCTTGAGTTCACTACAACGGCAACGTAAGTGAAATTGACAAATGGAAAATTGACAGATGTTCAACTGATTTAATTCGTCATAAGTGGCACAGAATAGGCCCCTGAATCTACTGGACATGCCTCCCTTCTCCCCCTCCTCCCCTACAATTATCATTTTTCTACAACATTGTCCGCAAGTTATATCTCTCCGCACCGAGATAAATTATGCACGCAGGGATGCATTATAGAGCCACATGCGTAGAGAGAGAAAGAGAGATAAAAATAAAGAAAAAAAAGACGAAGAGAGCTAATATCCCTCTCCTCAACGGTGCGGCCGAGACAGAGACACTGACTGAGGGCGGCGCCACGTTTGCGCCATCCACGGGGAAATAAGAAAACAAAAAAGTGAAAATAAAAAGAATAAAGTGCGACTGAAATGAAAAGAGTGAAAAAAAAGTGGGCAGTGGAGAGCGGCTAACATGGAATAGCCCTTAGCGGACTCGGGGCCGGCACGATAGCCGACTCTTTAGCCTGATGGACTCACCTCCCTTCCTTCTCAACCCCCTTCTCTCATCGCCACTTGTGCCTCAACCATCCCCCTCCCTCTTACCTCCAGCAAACTCTTGGAAACACGTATAAAACATCGGTGTCTTATCCGAAATATTTTCCATCAAATAAATTCAAACGTATTCATCATACTTAATCCGTGTATCTAAAGTAGCTCTACTCTTCGGCCGGGCTACGCTGTACTTTTGGATATTTTCAGTTTTTTAATTTTCCAACTAAATTGCATGGAAAAAATTTGAAAAAATTCATACCCAGTCAGTATTATCTAAATTAAATTTCGCAAAATATTCATATTTTTTCAGACATTTCCGTCTTATAAATAAATAATAAAACTTGTTTGCAAAATGGTGGATTATTTGTTATAAGGTGTCAACAAAATTCTCGATTTTTTCACATCTAACGAAAAAAAATTCAGATTTTAATCTTTGATTACAATGGAAATGTTGATTTTCACATAAGACACTGGGTTAAATGCTGATTTTTAAACATTTCTTTGTTGAAAAACCAAAACGATAATTAAATTGTGAAAAAAAATTAGAATTTCGAATCTAATCGAGTTTTCTGCAATTTTTTTGCAGTTTTCAATAATCTTTGAATTTACCGTAAGGGTAGAGATACTTTAAGTTCTCTTGAGATTGGGCGGAATCACAGAGTGAAGTATTATTTTTGGGGAATATATTGAAATGTGTTTTAAAAGTTATTAATTCAGAGGATTCGATTTACAAATTAGTTGAGGCTGACACAAATCTTTGGACAAATGCACAAAACGGCGCCCCAGAATGACTCAGTTCTGTTGCTTTATGCGTAAATCATTATTCGTCATTGTGGGGATTTTATTGATTCGTCTGAGATCCAGGGAAATTGATTTTCCAAATTCTATAATCTGTTCTTGTTCCCATACTTGGCCTTCCCCTCCCCTTAATGTGAAAAATTTTCCGTCAAATGAATTCAAACATATTCATCGTACTTAATCCATGTATTTAATTTAAATTCTCTTGACATTTGTAAAAATCTCACAGTGAATTATTATATTTTAGAAATATATTAAAATGTGTTCTAAAAGTAATGAATCCAGGGGATTCTATTCAAAAATTAGTTAAGACTAACATAAATCTTTGGACAAATGTACAAAACGTGGCCCCAGAATTCATAAATTCTGCAGCTTTATGCGTAAATCATTGTTCGTCATTGTGGGGATTTAATTGATTCGTCTGAGATCCGGGGAACTTGATTTTCCAAATTATATAATCTGTTCTTGTTCCTACACTTGGCCACCCCCTCCCCTTAATGTGAAAAATTTTCCGTCAAATGAATTCAAACTAATTCATCGCTCTTACTCCATGGCTTCAATTTAAATTCTCTTGACATTTTTAAAAATCTCATAGCGAATTATTATATTTTAGAAATATATTAAAATGTGTTCTAAAAGTAATGAATCCAGGGGATTCTATTTAAAAATTAGTTAAGACTAACACAAATCTTTGGACAAATGTATAAAATCTATGTACAAGCACCGACGAGGCCCCGGAATTCGTCAATTCTATGGCTTTACAACAGATATGACTGTTTTGTGGGGATTTAATCAATTCGTTTGAGATCTGCGGAACAGTATTTTTCCGGAATATCGCGATGGGGTTTTTACTCGCGTGGCGTTGGCATCCGAGCCGAAGGCGAGGGCTGGCCAACCGCACGAGTAAAAATCCCCATCGCAACAGCTCGGGACAAAATTTTTTTGTAGTGATCTCAAGTTTTCGAGTGTCGGAAATATGCAGTTCCCAATTCCCAGACGAGGAATCGCGAGACGCAGTACAGAAAATGGATTTTCGAAATTCTGTGATCGGTTCTTGATCTGGATCATCTCGATCTCCTTCTCGGTCTCGGCCACAAGGTGGCGACTCCCTCCGGGAGTTCCGTCGATAATCAATGGAGGTGATCAGGTAGAAATCCTCACGGCTGTATCACCAACAGTCGGTGTATTATGACGCGCTCAGGAGCGATCGAGGTGCGGCGTTAACTCGTTATCGGCTCTAATGGGGGCACGCTGAAAGAAATAATTCACCTGTTAGAGAAAAAAAATCAAAATTTTCGGTAAATACAGGAGATTTCATGAGTGAAATGAATGAAGGAGAAGAGTGAAAGTCTTTCAGTTTGAGTTGAGACTGGAGGCGCGAGGACGCGGGAAAGTTTGAATAGTTACAGTCGGTAAAGTCGTTATTTGCACCTAAAAAAAGGGTCTTTCTACTCAGTTCAAATAGATTTCATCGACTTGTTTCGAGTCGGCACTCTACTTGGCATTAATTTTCATAAAACAATGTTTTTTCCTTAAATTGAGTGAGAAACTCGGATTGATTGGATCATATTCTTCCTACTTAAATCGAGTAGAAAAAATACTTGATTCAAGTCCACACAGAAAAATCTGAACGTAAGTTACATTTAAGCAGTCGTTTTTTGCGCTTTCTGGGGCGTATTTTACGCTTGAAGTTAAAGCGCAAATTACGCCCATAATCGCCATAAATTACGATAATCTTTTCCGTATTTTACGTTTACTTATCCGTGAAATACGATATTTTTGTTGTAAATTGCGCATAAGTAAATCGTAAAATAGATTTCTATTAAAATCGTAATTTACAATTTCATGAGCATCAAATACACTTTTTTTGAAACGCAAGCTCCGATTTTTTTTTATTTATTCCATTCAAATCTTGACGGCTTATTCTGCAGCAAAAATATTATTATTTTGTATGAAATTGTATAGAAGATAATTACTTATGAACATTAGGTTTTTCTTAGGATTTAATTACAAGTAGTTATATAGTTCATTCCTTTCGTGAGTTGGACTCGATACATTTCCACGTGAGGAATATAATAATATATAGAGTTTTTAAATTCTTAGATTATAATAATTTAGGAATTCATCTATGATGAGTATTGCCTCTTTGTCGAGAGTGAATAAAAAAACATTTACATGGTACGGGGGGAAACTCCAATTTTCATGACAGAAAAACTGCCATCGGACATCATATTAGCGTTAAGCGTAAATGACGCTTAGCAAAACGTATATTACGTCTAGGGTTTTCTGTGTGTCGGGATCTACTTGAATCAAGACCTTCACAGAGGAAAAAAAGTTTTGATTTCCAGGGACATGTCACTCATTTTCAGGAAGTCACCACCAATTATTGGAGACGCTGAACCCTGGCCGAAATAATCCCGATCATTAGTGATTTTTATCGCTGAGTTTGATCATAGATTCCCCAAAATTAGAAATGAATTTCTGAAAATTAGTGATAATGTCACTGAAAATTGGTGACAAAATGACTGATTTTCAGAGTTTTCCACTCACTGAATCAATTAAAGAAATCAAATTCCTTCACTGAATTTCACAATCGCGAATCCCTAATAATTGGGATGAATTCCTGGAAATCAGTGACATTTCCCTGAAAATGAAAACTCTTTCTTTCTCTGTGTTATTTTTTTTTTTTCGGTGTGTCGTGCACTTACGTAAGGGTCGTCTGACGATTGAGTGCGGCGGCCGAGGGCAATGCGAGGGGCGAGTGCGCGTGCCCCATTTGGGATGTTGTCATTGTACCAAGATAATGGTGTTCCTCAAACCCATCAACGACCCCACCCCCGTACATACTCAACTGCAGCTTCGAGTCCACTGCAATTTATATTCAGTCAAAAATTCATGCATTCTTAGTTCTTCGTTCACAAAAGAGTTCACGTTTTGTCATTCAAATCATTAAAACTGGTCAATAATCAGAGTTGACTTGTAGTGTTTTACCACTTCATTACTGAATTAAAAATGTTTATCCCAAAATTTGTTCAAAACCATGTCTCTGGATATTGAAACCATGCCGAAAATATTAAGAATAAATCGGAAAATCTGGTCGTTAAAAAAAAAGTATTATATTTGCTCATTTATGAAATGATTCGAGAATCGAGAATAAAAAGAAAAAAAATGAATTACTCTTCATTGTTGAGGCTGTTTTCCCCTCTAGTGGCCGACCCCACTGACCCTCTCCCCTCCCCTCCCCCCACTGAACATAACCAGGCGCCATCAGATAATTTTACCACGCGCAGGCGTGCATTTCCCCGGTTGAGGAAAAATACTCGATTTTTTCCCCTCGTTATCGCTCAGATCCCCCCTGCGCTTTCTGACCAATCATCGGGCATTGACGGCCCATTGCACCCCCCTTCCCATATTCCCCCCTCGTTCACTCGCGACAGCGGCCATTTTTCTGATTATATCGGTCAGCCGAACGCAAACAACAAAATTTCCCGAATTAAACTGTAACTCTCGTCCCAATGCTTCCAACAATTTCGTTAAGTTGACTCCACTGACGCTTCGAATATCTTTTTGTCATTTTTTTTTTTTTTGAATATATATTTCCCGCGATTTTCCCAGGTAATCGAAAGAATCATTGTGTACACTGTTGTCACGTAGCCATCGAGTGAAAAAATCAATTAAAAAAACGGAGTTATCTTATCCGGCAAGTGGATCACGGGGGGAATTGAAAAATGAAAGAGGCGGAAAAGGAAGAGAGATTGCTCACCATAGACTCACCGAGTAGGTTTGACTTCATCTCGGTCTTGTGAATGCCACTGGATCCAGCCAGGCCACTGCTCAAGCCCGTGTGATTTTTGGGCTTCCTCTTCCTGGTTTGAATGCCATCTTTCTTCATACTCAATGGCCTGTTCACCTGGAATTTAATGATATTATTAATAAGGAACTTGCGTTATTCTTTCGTTTCTAATTTCCAATTTATGACTTTAACTTCACTATTGATCTTTTTTTACTGATGTTTTCTTTACATTTATTTGGAAATTTTTATCGAGTGACAGTACCACGGCATTAAAAGTTCACTATTTGATGGAAAAATCAATGGAAACTGGAAATTCAAGTTCAATTATTCCATGAAAATTTATAGAAATCAGACAAATTCTGGTAAATTTATTCTTGAGTTTCCGAAGAATTGAACATTCAAGTAAATTGAGAATTTTTCGTTTTTCTGCTGCTCGAAAATTCGGAATTCCGTTGAATTTATACAAAAAATTTAAAATATTAAGATTTTTTTCCGCTTCTTAATGCCGCTCTCCTGAAAATTACTACTTAACTATCAACGAAATTTCTAATGTTTTCCAACACTGTTCACATTTCGTTATACACCCAGACAAATAGTTTATTCTAATTTAATAACACGCATAAAATTATTACAGAATTGAATAATTAATTTCTGAGAGTAGCGTAGTGTTAACAATTTTCATCTGAATTTTCCGTGCCAAATACCGGAAATTTTTATCGTGTTGAAGTTCCACTGGAATTTCAGGAAATCTTGTCATTCAAAATCAAATATTCCAGTGATTTTCTGTTCAAATGCTCGAAAAATCAATAAAATGCTTGATTTTTCAGTTCAATTATTCGATGAAAATTCATCTCTTTTTTTCTGAATATTCATGTTCCACTGAAAATTCAATCAAGTTGTGAAATTTCCATCGCACTCCCACTTAAAACTCATGAATTTCCCTGAATTCTACCTAAAGCTACAAATTTCATAACCATTTTTCCCCCAAATCCGATTCAATGTCACTCTTATGAGAATTACTATCATATTTTCCATGAACTTTCAAAAAAATTCTAACAGAGTATTTCAACGTGTCTTAAAAAAAATTGCCTCGCATTGAACTTCATCCTTCCAAATAAAAACGTTCTGATATCCACTCAACATAAAATTAATTGTCCCTATTCCCTCAACAAGATCTCCCGATAATCTTCTCCGAATTTAGCTGTCCACTCTACCCCTTTCGCTCACGCCTCGCGAAAAAAAGATCAGCCAACATGCTTATCACCCGACGCGAAAAAAACCTCCGATAACACTCGACTCGATTGTGATTGATTGCTATCGATCACCAAGAAATAAAAGAATCAGAAGAAGAAGCGATCGTTCTCGTTAACTCGAGACAAAGTTTCCAAATTCCTGCGACGCCTGAGGATGATTTATTGGCTCTGATGCTAATCTCATCGACGCATCTAAAATTATCACAATGTCCGCTTCTGGACAGGTGCCTTCACAGCACTAATTCGAAATTTTCGTCGTTGATAGACTAAAACAGTTCTAATTCCTTATCAATGCAGCCATAGACACGTGTCATCGGACCCACACGTGTCCTGATAACAGATTTATCGTCAGTCTAGTAAAAATTAATGGATCTTCTCAATTATATTGCACACTGGAATGCACTCACAATCACAAATCCCAGCGTCTTTGAAAATTCCAATTTTTGGAATATATTCTTGAAATTTTAGTCGATTGACGATTCAACATAATTTACTACTGAATGTTCACGTTTTGAGGGAAAATTCAAGTAAGTTAAGGAATTTTTGTCTTTCTGTTGTTGAAAAATAGGGAATTTCGGGGAATCGTCTTTGAAAATTTCAATTTTATGGAATATATCCTTGAAATTTCAGTTAATTGCACATTCAACGTAATTTTGTACGGAATATTCACGTTTTGATTGAAATGTCAAGTAAGTCAAGGAATTCTTGTCTTCCTGTTGTTGAAAAATAGGGAATTTCGTGGAATCGTCTTTGAAAATTTCAATTTTATGGAACATATTCTTGAAATATCAGTTAATTGAACTTTCAACATAATTTGATACTGAATATTCACGTTTTGAGTAAAAATTCAAGTAAATTAAGGAATTCTCGTCTTCCTGTTGCTGAAAAATTGACAATTTCGTTGAATCGTCAGTAAAATGGGAAATTTCATTGTTTTTTTCCCCCTAAACTGAATCCCACATCATTCTCCGAAAAATAACGTCCATGAAATTTCAATTTTTCTCTGTCACTGCTGTTAAAAATTCTTGGCTGAAATTTCCTAGATTACAGTTTCACTGAAATTTCGAGGGATTTCATCATTGAAAATTCCAGTTTTCATAAAAAAATTAATGAGATCAAAATAAATGGTGAATGTATTCTTTTGAACATTTCATTAACAAAAAGTTGAGCGTAATGTGCTATTGAATATTCATGTTTTCATTGAGAATTAGACAAGTAAATCGGGGAATCCCCATTTTTTCTCATTCCAAAAATTAAAGATTTCCCTGAACTTTCCGTGCAATCTGAAATTTCATGATTTGCCCCCTAAATTGAATTTAATGTACCTCTCCTGAAACAGACTAGCCAACTCTCAAATATTTTCAATGACTCAATTTCGTGTACATCCGTTTGTTCCCCCCCTCAAAGTCTTTGAAACCGGAAGGGAGCCGCGTCGCGAGTCAAACGAGGCGTCGAAAAATCATCGAAAAATACCGGAGATGATTTCAAAGGTGAGAAGTATTGTTTGTTTCCAGTTAACCCTTCCCCCTCAGTGTGACGAACATTTTTTCAAGGAGAATTGTTGTCATATAACTGTCGGGCTCAACGACCCTTGTTTGCAGTCTTTACTGCGCCTCAACCTTTATTATTTCTCTCGTTTTGGTTTTTTATTACTCTTAATACACTTTAGTAATTATTTGAACGTCTACTCACATTGTGGAGCTTAAAGTAGAGGCCGCAGGCATTACATACTGGCTCGCCATTGTTATTTCTTCTCCATAATGTTGTGTTGCTTGTTCTACAATTTGCGCATTGCACGCCCGTTCTACGTCCACTCTGGAAATAAAAATAATGAGAATGATGAGAATTATTGAGTCGCATAAATGATAAAATCTGTTATCGATGTGTTGAATTTTCTCGTTTAATTCTTTCCGCTCATTTAGTGAATTTTTTTTATATCGCAGATGGTGGAATGCGAGCATCATCCCTGACTGTTTGAGAACATGAAGAGGAAGAGGAGAGGAATGTACGCGGTCTTCGTCAGGTAAGTAAACTAGAGCAAACAACACCCGCCCTCTTTCCCCGTCTCTTATTTGTTCTGGGCTCCGAGATAACAGCGTTCTTCTCTCGAGAGCACAAACATTACTTAATAACGTTGGTTGTGTTGGTGCACACATTGGGTACTATACAACAAGCCCATGTCTCGTCCATCCCGGTATTGGACTTTTTTTTTATCAGCACAAATAATTCCCCTGTGGCCTAGAATTCCAAACGGTGGACAACTTTTTTCTTTCTTCAATCTTATTGTTAGTTTTACTGACCAGGAAAATTGCGTCATTATTCGCCGGATTAACGCGAGTTGATTAATCAGTTTGTGCGCATTATTGTCCTCGCGAAAATTAATGAGTTTGGAGAAACAGAAAATCCTGTGAGTTAAAGTCTTTTAATTCATTTTTCTATGGAGGTTACTGTTAATAGATCTGCGAAATAAGACGGTAAGTATCAAAGATCATTTGTAAATAACTTTTTAGATATCTCACAATGAAATTTCAATTTTTTGCCAACAGGAAGATAAGCATTCCCCAATTCACTTGAATTTTCCTTATTTATATTCATTTTCGAGGAATCATTGGACTAAATTTCAGTGGGACTATCATGTAATAAAAATTTCCAAGAAATTACACTTGAAAAAAACTGAAATTTCAGGGATAGTTGACGACTAATTTTCAGGACAGCGACACTGAATGCGATTTAGGGGGAAAAAATCATGAAATTTCTGGTTTCACTGAAAATTCAGTAAAATTCCAGAATTTTAAGCGGAATAAAGACAAGAATTCCTTAATTTATTTGAATTTCCAATCTAATATGACTATTCAGTGTCAAATGACATGGAATTTTCTGGTTTTCTATTCCTTTTCAGTGGAAAATGGAACGAAAATTTACAGTTCTCTTTTATTTTTCCATGAAATTCTGAATTTTCAATGACGAAATTCCTTGAAATTTGAGGTAATAATTAAATTCGATAAAAATTTCCGAAAAATGTACCGGAAATTTCAGACGAAAATTTTTAAGTCTCCCGAAAACTTGATCGTTAATTTTGCAAAAGTCTACAAACTCTGGAAATACTTTGAGAATAATTCACAAAATCATTCTAGATCTATTCACACCTCACGGGAGGTCGGTTACAGCCCCATCCCTTCAAGTATAAATTAATTTCCGTGGAATAATTGGACTGAAATTCCAGTAAAACTATGATGTAATAAAAATTTCCACGAAACTACCGAAAATTTCAGCGTTAATTTTTTAAAAGTCTGGAAATATTTTGAAAATCATTCACAAAATCATTCTAGATCCATTCCCTTCACCGCTCGAATGCCAAAAACTACTTACCGGTGCAATGCTCTGTTTGATTTTCCCTCCACACCTCATGGGGGGTCTGTTAGCTCCATTCATTTTATTATAAATGCCGCAGGCATTGCACAAGTAATGTCCAGTGCCGTCCCTTCTCCACAAGGGGGTCATGTTAGCTCCGCAGTTGACGCACTCTTTGGAGTCAACTGGGATCAACTGATGGTCGAAGCCGTCGTCAGAGGCACTCACTGGAATGGTGGGCCACGGAGAAGGTGGACCGTTGTCACCGGCAACGGTGTATCCGCCTCCGGAGTACATCATGCTTCCTCCATCGCTCGTTGTGATGGGGATGGTATATCCCGGGACGTAATCCAGGGTTGGGGGTGATGTGGAGCTTGGAGGGGCCGCCCAGTAGGTCTCTCCAGAGGTCTTGACGTACTGAAAGGCCTGGGTGGGACCTGGATAGATTGTCACTTGGGAATTTGGAGAGCCTGGCTGATCGTAGTGGAGCTGGGCTCTTGTGGGAATTAGGGAGGAGGAGGTCAGGGTGGGGTCGCCCTTTATGTAGACTCGAGATTCCACCTGAAACATCATCAATGATGTGGTTTTTATTGACCGGAAAGCACTGAGAAAAGACAGCATTACAGAATATTTTCTGTGCATTTCGAATGTAAAAAAAAATAGAGAAAATCTGCTTGGGGAATAGATATCTTCAAAAGCGAGAGGTCAGGAGAATTCATGAAGTGACGTTCTTTATTCACAGATATTCTCGCAGAAAGAATTCCTTTCGGGGATATTTCTCAAATGATATTAATCATATTTGTTAATCTTCGCTGTCAGCTACACTGATATCTCTAAATTCGATTTAGGGAGGAAAATTAATGCAAGCTACACATTTTTGGACACTCAAACAAATTATAATTCAGAAAAATCAAAATTTTTCAGTAGAAATAAAAAATTTCCCACTTGAAGTTACAAAAAAACATGAAAATTTAGCACTGAATTGAAAAGTTAATTCAATTTTCATGATTTCTACTAATTATCACAAAATAATTGAAATTGTGAATTTTCAATGACTAATTTGTTTCGAATGTCAACGAAACTCTCACTTGATGACAATTTCAAGAACTAATTCTTCCCATTTGTGTCTAATACGTCTCAAGTCTTCAAATTTATCTCCTTCGCATCAATACATAACCACATCATCTCGTCTTCTCATCAATAAATCAAAATTTAAGATTACCTCTCCCGCTCTGAAATTCGCCTGTCCACTGGGATAAGTCAGATAAGTGATGTCTCCAGGTTTGGCATAAGCATAACTGCCAGTGGGTTGAAATCCATCGGTGACATACGGAGTATACTGAACAGTCTGCGCCGGAGGTAGTGCAACAGTCTCGAGAGTGGTGTAAGTGCTGGTCTTCAGGTTTTCCGTGGGCACAGCTGCTGCCACGTCGTACTTGATTGTGGCCTCGGTGTACGTGGGGACCACTTGTTGTTGCTGACACCGCATGGTCTCCACAGGTGGTGAGTAAGGGTGCGGTGGGGATGGGATGTGGATCGTCGGGGGGTGCGAGACCATCGCACTCCCCTCGTAATCCTCCCCTGAGGCTGGGGAGTTTTGGAATCTCGTCACCTGGCCATTCTCGTGGGGACTGAATCGAGACTGTTGACGTCTGGGGTCAGGCACTTGGACTGTTATCACGGGACCACCTCGGCGAGCGTCGTTGTCTTCCCCGTAGGAGATGTAGACTCTGTCCACTTCGGCTCTCTCCGGGACTGGGGTCGCGTAGCTGTAGGGGAAATGTCTTCAATAGTTTCTTAATTTTTAGTCTTGGATTTCGAACATTTTCGAGGATTTGCTGAGGATTTAGCGAGGAGTAACTAGTGAGGAAGGTTCAGGCGAATGTAAATATTTCTTGAAATATTTCCGCAGAATAACGAAATAATGGAGGAGAGTTGAGATTCTGAGAATTTCGCGAGCTATAAAAATAGTCATGTAACATTTCTACAGCTGAAAGTACTCGGAATTTTGAGACACACTGTTCAAAAAAATTAAAAGTTCACGGACAATTCAGTCGTAATTTATAGACAAACGATATTACAATCGATTTCGGGGGGAAATGTTGAACATTTAAGTGAATTCATGAGTTTTTAGTAGAAATAAGATGGAAATTCCATGATTTACATAAATTTTCAAGTGAACATCAATACTCAGTCCCGAGTGAACCGAAACATTCTCATTTTTTCTCATTTCCATTGAATAATTGAACTGAAATTTACTTGTTCTATTTTTTTTCATGAATAGTCTAGCAATAATTTCCAGAAGAGAAATATTAATATCCCAACAAGGATAAAACATAAATTTCGCAAGTTACTGACATTTTCTCAATTAATTAACAATTCAGTAGCGAAGTGGTAAAACGGTTTAAGTCGACTTATCTCTTAGTTAAGTTTTTGAAGAATATCTCCGAATTTAAAGGAGATAATGAAATTTTCGTAATAACCTTTTTTCTGGAGCAAATTGCGTGCTACAAAAAAGGTTCAACAAAAATTCAGCTATCTCCCTTCGATTCCGTGATATTCACTAAAAACTGGTCAATAGTCAAAATCGACTTAAACCGGTTTACCACTTCGTTACTGAATTAAAAAGTATATAGATTGATGAATTTGACTAATTTTTTCTGAATAACTGATCTAAAATGGACAGTTTCAGTAAATTTTCCATCGAATTGTGGAAAATCCACTGATTCACAAATTAATATCAAACTTACCGAGTTTGATCCTTAATAGCCAGCCCAATGGCCTGTCCCTCGGCCTCCTGATTCTCCACCTGCAGTTCCTCGCTATTACTCGTATTATAAATAACCTGATGCTGCTCGATACTCCTCTGCTCGCCCGGACTCCCCTGACCCACGTGAATATACTGTGACTGCTGCTCCTGATACGCCTCCTGCTCCTGGTGAGCCACTGGTACCACCTGCATGTTACTGTTCTGTTTCTCAGGGGGACTGGGCACTGGAGAGTCCGGCTCCCCCTCAGCAATAGTCTCTGTGATGTGCCCGGTTGTGGTAATTGTCCGAACGTGTCTTCTTGCTGTGATGACACTCTGGGGGCTCTCCACCGCCTGCTCCTCCGCAGTCCTTGGCACCACTGGGGATCCCTCCTCAGGATGATTCCCCTCCCACTCTATCTTCATCTCTTGCTTCATCATGTTCTCCTTCATTGTGTCCTGAAATCGATATTTTCCTGTCTGAATGACACCTTCAATGAGTGACTGTCGCTAAACAACTCGAAACGATAGAAATTCGAGGAAAGTGGGACAGGAACAAAGACTTGTTACAAGATAATGCGGATGTGCTCCTCATAAGATCTATTTCCGGATCGGAACTGGGTCTAGGCCACGATGACGTATTTCACAACCTTCAGCAAAACCCAATCACTCATTCCTCAAACGAACTCCGAATATCATTGCGAGCCTCGAAAAGTACCCGTTTGGATAAAATGAAATTCGTTATTTGAGATTTTTTTGTTCGTTTCAAATAATTCCGGGAAATTTCTGGCAAATCACAGTTCTAGTGAAATTTCAAGAAATTTTGCTGGTGATTATTCAAAATTTGATGGAAAATCAGTGGAAACTGTAAATGTCGGGTCAAATATTACAAGAAAATTGATAGAAATTTGGAAAATTTGGGAAAATTTAATCTTGAAGTTTTAATAAATTGAAAATGCAGCGTTATTTGGTATGGAATAATCGTGCTTTTGGGGAATTATCGTCTCTCTGCCACTCAAAATTTTGAAATTTCATTGCATTTTCAGTCAAATTTGAAATTTCAAGATTTTTATTTTCCATAATTTCGTGATTTTTAATTACAAATTTTTATCATGTGACAGTTTTAATGCAATTTCAAGGAATTTTGTCATTAAAAATCCACAACTCATTGTAAATGTCAATGAAAACTGTAAGTTTCAGTGCAATTATTCCAGGAAAATCAATGGAAATCATGAAAATTCACATAAATATATTCTTGAATTCATAATTAATTAACAATTCAGCGTAACTCGCTAGTATCCATATTTCGATCGAAAATTCCACTAAACTGGGAAATCCTCATCTCCTTATTGCAAAAAAATTGCAATTCCATCGAAATTTCAGTTAATTTTAACAGAATATCAGAATCGAATGAACAATTTATTTGATCCAAATGCAGAATTATTGTACACTAGTAAATTCGTTCTCTTCATCGCCTAAACAACGACTTCATTTCTACTAAATAACATTCTCTATTTGGAACACAAAAACGTTTGTTCACATCTAAAAAATTATTTATTCAATCTGAATAAAAACGCAGCTAAAAATCAAGTTTAAACCCATTTACTGTTCAAAATGAATTCATTCAACTCGAATAAATTATTTTTTGACTGCAATTCCGGAAACACTGGATCTTCCTCAGCTCAGAAACAGAATTAGTCACGGGTTTTAAAAAGCCACGCGACAAAAGGGTACACAGAAATGGTATAAAAATCCGGTGTATTTATGTTCATGGTGAAAACGGCACACCTCGTTCGTCACAACCGACAGAGAGAGAATTAACGTTGAAATAGAAAGAAAAGAGGAATTGTTGGAGAAGGTGTTTGCAGAGGTGCGCGTCACTTCCGCTTGGTAATGTCAAGCCAAGATTTCCGCCGGTCGCCGACTGAGGCACGCGTCATTCATAGTGCTCCATCGTATGAGGAGAATATTATAATTCGGGGAAGCAGACATATCGAGCATTTGTTTCCGAAAGATCATGAACACTCCATGACCACTCTTCGTCGAATTCTTCACACGTTCCCTTCGGCCACAATAATGGGAAAAATTGTCATTAGCGAGGATCGACGAAGGCGACAGAAAACATTTACTTCAAATGAGGGTTGGGAAAATCGTTTACATCAATTGACGAAGTAGTTAAAATTGTTGGATGTACTTAGGAAACTTTCTAGTATTTGAGTCATTAACGAATGACACTGCATTCATCGAGGAAAAATTGCGAGAAAGTCCAGTAAAAATTCACTGAAAATGCGCTTAAATTCATCAGTTTTTTGTATTTTTTCACGAATGACTCCAAAATTTTGCCGCTTTTTTGCGAAAAATTACGTTTTGAAGGGGGAAATTTATCTTTCGCTTCACATTTTTCGCGGGATTTTTTTTCTCATCTGCATTACTTCACAAAATTACCTCTGTAGCTGCGTGCCGCATTGGTCCTCTTCTACAAAATGATAAATAACTCAAAACAATCTTCCACTTTTGATGAAATTAAACTCGATGCCCGCAATGAGGCGCCAAAGGTGCAATCGCGTGCTCCTTGGTCTCGGCGAGCGCTCAAACCGATCCGAGGAAACTGAACTTCAACAACTTCAGAACCAGCTGAACCAAAATTTAAAAGCCGAACGGAAGGAAGTGATAGACGATGAGCCTTCCACGGGAATCGGCTAGTGACTGAAGTTGGTGGAAAAAAGGTGTGAGGTGAAGAGGCGTTCGTGGTTTATGCTGGGAGAGGTGGTCGCGTGTCTAGGAGGCACTCTCCTCTCCCCCCTCCATCGGCATCGCGGGTTATTCGGACGGTGGAGTTGTGCATTGCGAGAGAGAGGAATAGCCGCAACAAACAGGGGAGAGAGAGGAGAGATGGGGCTTTGGAATGGTCGAACGGGAGCATGAAGACACGATTGGACAACGCCCCTTCGCTGTTCTCATTGGTCACTCGGAACTCCCCCCCCCGGGTATTCGCTATAATTATTGCCCTGATTAGCATCCCCCACGCTAATCAGGACAAGGTTTGAGAATTTGCAGGCAGCTTCTGGATGGGGTTTTCAATGGTAACTGTACCCCCTGCATGTGTTGAATTTTCGAATGACTCTCGTGGCCATAATTATTAATTTTTGGAAATCAAAAAGTTCAGTCACTCGATTATTACAGTGCCTCACGTATTTCGGTTTCCAAAAATTAATAACTATGGACATGAGGACCATTGTTAAGGATATCCGATCAGGATATTTAAGTAGGGGGGGTTGGGGTAAAACGGACACTTTTGACTTGTTTTAAAATGTTAATGAAGTTGAAGTGTTGATAAAATTCAATATTTTTTTTAAATACAAAGAACAATTATTTCCCTCTGTGACGAGCCTAAACTGAGCTCAATTGATAAATTTGTTTCTGAGTTATGAATGATTTTAAAAAAGTCTAAAGTGCCCATTTTACCCCACCCTCCCCTATATTTTACAGTTTGGTACAGACCATACTGTAGATTCAACCATTTTCAATTGGCAATTAAATTTGACAATTAACTTGTCTGAGAAAAATTTGAAAAAAATCATGGAGATTCAGCGTTATTCAAATTACATTTTGTACAGAATTACTATTTTTTTCCACATTCGCTGTTCATAAATCAATAATTGAAATTGTTTAAATTATCGTAAACATTATTTTCAATTTAATGCAAAAAAATAATGTTCGGTGGAAAATTGATTGTTTATTAATTATCTATATAAAATGCTCGCCATTTTTAGAAATTACGGTTTTTAAAATTATTTCATCATTCTTCCTCCAGAAGTAAACTCGCTAATTTTTTTTCTGATTTTTAAAATATTTTCCAACGATTTAATATAGAGATTCAAATTCAGACCTGCAAAGTTTAAATCATAAAATTATTGTAAAATGTGCGGACAGTTAGGGTCAAATGGAGCTCAAATGAAAGCTCTGATGTTCGACTGAAAAAGTAGAAAAGCATTTCATTAGCGAAGTGGTCAAACGGTTTAAGTCGACTTAGCTCTTAGCTGAGTTTTCGAAGAATATCTCAAAATCTAAGGGAGATGACGAAATTTTCGTACATATCTTTCTTGAAGCTCTCAATGTGCTCTACCGAAAAGGTCATTACAAAAATTTCGCTATCTGCCTTAGATTGCGAGATTCATTAAAAACTCCTGAGTAGTCAAAATCGACTTAAACCGTTTGACCACTTCGCTACTGATTTCACTGGAGAAAAAATAGCCAAGTACTTAGATATCCTTAAAGGGTCGGTGGGATTGTTTCAACCCTTCCGCATTCCGGGCTCTTGGAAATTGTCATTCGTCATCGAAAATTTAAAACTTCATTAGAAAATCAAGGGAAGCAGTTAATTTCAGTTTAATTATTCCATGGAAACTAATAGAAATCAGGACATTTCTGGTAAATATTGTAATAAAAAGGCAAATTTCTTCAATTAAAAAGAATGGGGCGGTATATTTAGTTTGACAGGAATCAGCTGTTGAATTCAACAACAAAAAACATCTTTCGTTCCATTCGTTTATTCCTAAATTCGCGCTTCGAAAAGCGGGGAAGGAGATATTTATTCATTTAAAGTATTCCACAACAATATATTCTGGAGTTTTCAGTTAGTTGAAAAATCTGCATCAGTTCCTTCTGAATATTGATGTTTGCATTGCGAAGTCAAGTAATTTGAGGAATTCTCGTCTTCCGGCTGCTTAAAAATTTGTAATTTCATAGGATTTTCAACGACATCTGAAATTTCATGATTGTTTTCCCTTCAATTGAATAATAATATTAAAAAGCCAAATGTGTTATTTGTGTGTTATTTTTTTTATTAATATCAATATTTAATATTAATATTAAAAAATTTTTTACTCTAGAAAAATAATGATCGGTGCTCCATGAAAATCCGATATTTTCGAACAATTTACCCTAAAATTATCGCAGAAATGTTACTTAATATGAAAAAGTTTCAATCGCCCCGAGAAATAGAGAAGAAATTTGCATTGTGCATCGAGTTGAACTTTAGATTTTTGAATTTGACGGTTCAGTGATTCACTGTTTGAACAGTGAGTCGAGATTTTTGACTCATTGTTACTGGGCTCAAGTTTTTTTGAGACTGAAGTTTTGGTGGGAGTAGACGTGGGGCTTTTTTAGAACAAAAAAAACTGTTAGAATCTCTTTGATTGACACAATAAGCCGGGAACGTACGGAGGGGTCCGGTGTTTGCTCTGTGATAAGGCGAGAGAGCCCAACCGTGCTCAACACCGGTGAGATAACAATGTTGGTACGGTCGTTGGTAGTTTGTCCGTAGCATCGGCCATTTCGTTCCGCCATTTTGTTGGTATTTTGCCACCCTGCGCGAGTCATCGAATGACCGCTCGGGTTATTGGGGGAGGGGCAGGGGCGCGTGAGTCATCCCGTTGACGGGTGCAAACACGTCAGGACAAGTTGGTCTGTCTGATTCATTTTGACGTCCAGTCATCCGACGATTGACGGGGGATGACAGGTAGATGCGAATACACTGGAGGAAATTTTTGACTGAAATTTCCGGTACACTGAGAAAAACAGTTTTCAGTTTCGGGGATATGTCACTAGGTTTCAGGAATTCATCCGCAGTTACATAAATTTTTTTTTACCCTTAAATTTCCGGATATTAATTGAAAACTGGCCAATAGTCAAAATCGCTACTGAATTTAAATTAGCTCTACGCTTACGGTAAATTCAAAGATTATTGAAAACTGCAAAAAAAATGCAGAAAACTCGATTAGATTCGGAATTCTTTTTTCTCAATTTAATTATCGTTTTGGTTTTTCAGAGAAGAAATGTTTGAAAATCAGGATTTAACCCAGTGTCTTATGTGAAAATCAACATTTCCATTGTAATCAAAGATTAAAATCTGAATTTTTTTTCATTAGATGTGAAAAAATCAAGAATTTTTTTGACACCTCATAAAAAATGATCCACCGTTTTGCAAACAAGTTTTATTATTTATTTATAAGAGGGAAATGTTTGGAAAAATATCAATATTTTGCGAAATTTAATTTAGATAAATTTTTTCCATGCAATTTAGTTGAAAAATTAAAAAACTGAAAATATCCAAAAGTACAGCGTAGCCCGGCCGAAGGGTAGAGCTACTTTAAGAGGAAACGGAACCCCTGCGTTTATATGAATCTTTAGAATTGTGTTTCCTCCTGCAATTATTATTTTTTATTCATTAATTAAACTACTTCATTGACTCAACAATGCGATAATCGAGTCGATAAAGTAATTTCATAAATAGAAATTAATGATTGTAGGAGAAAACATAATTCTAAGATTTGATCTAGACAAAGGTTAGATTAAGTCTAGATCTAGATTAAGTCTCCCCTTAATGTCGCTCTCCTGAAAATTCCTTCCAAACAGACCATGAAATTTCAGTTTAGTTCTACACTGTTAAGGAAGTTTATCCAAAATCGCAAGTACTTAAAAAATTTAATTTTTTTAAACTGAGAGATGAAGACTCGTAGTTGTAATCGTAATTTTTCACAGGAGATTCAGATAAAAATTACGGAACACTCCGGAAAAATTCGGTGACAGTTCCGTAAAATTTCCTACAACCACATTTCGCTCCGGAATTACGGAGAAGATACGTAATTTTTATTGAATATTTCTCTCCGCGCGTCCACTGCAAATAACACTCTGAACTTGAAAAAACCCCAGTGAAATCGACCTGAATTCCCATTTAACCCCCGCCCATTCCCACTCAAACGATAATTCCAATCCCCGTACACATCGCGACAATATTTTTTTTTCTCTCCCGAACAAGGAAATGAAGACTGCGCTTCAGGTCCCCTCTCCCTCTCCCCAAACCTCATCTCACCTCCCAAAAACTCACCCAGATGCAAACCCCTCCGCGGATGATTAAGATTACGAGGGCTGATACCAGGCGTCACGATAGGTCGGGGGGAGGTGAGACGAGTGCTGTCAAAATAAACGGCACTATCGCAATTTATCTCGTTTCCCATGATAATACGAGATAAAACTGCATCATTACATTAGCTAGTATCAGCTAAAATGATAATTTCAGTCGAGCCGGGACGGTCAGAAGAGTGTAGGGCCTTTCGAACATTACCTGTCCATTTTATAATCGAATTACTGAGCTCACCCCCACGTTTCGCCCTTTGAGTGACGGCCTCCGACGCTCCGACATACCCCAGTGAAACTTCCGAAAAATCCCTGAACCTTTCAAACCCTCAAATTGATAATTCGCGAGTGACAACACTTTTCAATCCAGAAGACGTCAATTTTCTTCGGAATTTCATTGCAAATTATCGCAATTTCTCAGAGTGAGAAAACAAAATGGTGGATATGTGTGACGTCACGAGAAATGAATCGAAGAATAATTGTAGAAAAATGGTGAAGGAGTGCTCACTGTCATCGCTGGAATTAACCATCACTTTTTATCATCAACAATCCCTTATCAACGACTCAACAACCTAGCACGTAGTCCACCTATCGCCGTCTCTTTTTACCCTTGGTTACTGCTAGATCACCTCGAGTGGATAACTGATATCGATTTCTACTCCGCAGAATTGTATGATTCCAATCCCCGTACACATCGCGACAATATTTTTTTTTCTCTTTATTTTCTTGTTTGCTTTTTGATCGACGAAAGTCCAAGGACTTGACG